CTTCGGGACCACTGCGAGAGGTATTGGCTCGTCGGTTAATTCCACGCAAGTACACGCGTATAATGCGTTGTTCACGCAGCCCCGCGCGTGAGTACTAGATCAGGGGGAGAAAGCGGAGAATAGTCAAGTTGCGCAATTAAACGTTAACGAATTAACGTCTCTCTGCGAGAGACGTCGCGTCGACTTCACGGCGAGCGTCGAGTTGTTAAATAAATGCCCGCGGTTTGGCTCCTGTAATTAGAAAGTGCGATCAATCGTGCGGCGTAGCTCCGTTCCCGATGTTTTCGTCTAGAGGAATGAATTGAGATACACGATTTATTCTATCGAGACTTACGTACTTTTCGCCTCGGTACGCTGCTATATTTCTACTTACCTTTTCCACTTATCGTTCCACGCTTCTTATATATATCTTCTTTCACTTATTCTTGTCCATAAGATCGTTCAAACGGAGAACGTGATCACATTGATAATCGGCTCGACTTATGTAAAATGCGTATTTACGGCGATGAAATTGAATCAAATTAAAACGCTAGAAATATACATCGTAGCAGTATACAATACAAATAACGATACATTATGATATGTCGATAATCTCGCACAGTATTGGGATTCTCACGTTGGAGAATCCGCGGTTTATCGAAGGGAAGCAAAAGCCTCCCCAAGGTCTCTCAATGAGAGCCCACCACATAGACAACGCCCGTTATTTCCTTATAATTACTCCATTTCCTCTCGCGCGTATAGTTACGCCAAAGCCTGCATGGCTAAATCGATGGGAGAAAACGGCAGATATTGGAGCGCGATTCGGGACCAAACGGTGGAGACAGCGAAAACGCGGCGGCAGCTTGTCCGAAGATATCGAGGAAATGAACGGGAATGGCTGCCGAGTAAAATCGTACCGCGATAATTACTTATTAACTCCATTGTACCTGGCATCGCCGACGTGAGGAATCACGAGTTCGAGTAGATGGCTAAATGCCAAAGTGCTTTCTTGGTTCTTTATAGTTTGGATTATGGGAAAGGGTTATAGATTTGTCATAACCGATAATAGACGATATTAATTACTCGATCGAACGAACAAGCGGGTTATTATAATATTAAGTTTCATTCCTTACGAGAAATAGATATCTACTTCAGCTACCGCAGTTTCTGTCTGTAAATAAAATACAATACGATTTCAATCCCGCGAGGAAAATATGGCGAAATATCTCCCGTTATGCTTTTCATTACTAACGATAATTAAAAAATTTATAAAAATATATGCTTCATGGTTGATGTGGGAAACAAGTATTTAGCGGTCAAACTGACCAGTTTGGCCGTTCGAGTGTATATAATTTATACCTTACTAGACACAGATTAAACATAGAAGCCTTTGAGAGCTCCCGGCGACGGCTTCACATTAATCAACGAGCATTAATCAATAGACAAGACGCTAATCAGGAACGTCCGGCAAGTAGGTCGATCGGAGGTTTGCCCGAAACCTTTCGATCTTGCTCGCCGCAGAGTTGGAGATTCCACGTCGCGCGATGAATGCATGCCTACGCGCGTTCGTGTTCGTGGCCGCATGTGTGCGCACACAGCCGTTTGCAGCAACGGACTCTGCAGCAACAGGGTTACCCACGGGTTCGGCTGATGCTTTCGTCTTTCGAGATAGAGAGACGTTCCCTGTGAAGACTGGAAAGCCGCGATCCCCGGTGCAGACCATGCAGAGCCGAGATGCCTGGGGGTTGATTGATTAGAGGATACGGCGTAGGAGAGAAACCGGGAGAGTTCCGGGGTGCGGGTTAGTTCGGCAGGGGGCTTCCTGGGTTATTTGGAGTCGGGGGTGAGGAGGGGGGGGGGGGGTGGTTGGCGCAGAGCGACGGCGGCGGTGGCGGTGAAGGCGGCGGTGAAGGCGGCGGTGAAGGCGGCGGTGAAGGCGGCGGTGGGTGTGGGGAACGGTGTTGGATTCGAGGTAGAAGCAAGGTAAAGGGCGGTGGCGAGGGGCGGTCGGGGCGAAGAAGGGTGGCGGCCCGTCCGGTGTTAGAGAAGGAAGGCTGGAGGCGGTAGTTCGAGGTGCTACAGTTTATAATAGTTGCCGCCGCCCTCGGGCCAACCGACCCTGCCCGCAACTTCCACAGAGTTGCTTAAACCTAACCTTCTCTCACGGGTACACGGAACGATCAAGTGTGGTCCACGGCTCGACCGAAAGAATGTAGGTTACTCGGTCCCGGTCGACCGCCAATGCCGTACCATTTTTGCATCGTCATGACTTTCGCCCGCTCGTGTCGTAGCCGCGAAAGAGACGCGCAGGGATGCACGACGGAGGAAGAAAGAGCACGAACGTGGGTTTAGGGTCGCCAATAGTATATCCGCCGAGCGACAGCGCGCGTGTGCCGTAGATTAGTTTGTAGTTCGTCGTTAAAGAAAAAACCGAGTTATTAGTTGCGGCTCAGGGGGGGGGGG